GGGGGGGGGCAGGGCATGGGGTGGGGATTTGATTGTCTTTGTTGTCCCTGGGGTAGGGCATTTGACTGATCTTGTTCTCCTGGGGGAGGGGATATTTGAATCTTTCTTCGCCCGACGTGGAGATATTTGACTGCCGACTTGCCATACTGTTTGAAAAGATCAGGAAGTCATGGAGGCCAGTGAGAACAAGCGAAGGCTGAGTGGATTTCACTGTTTTGTCTTTAAATTTCGTTTGTTTTAGCGTGTTTTTGATCAGTTGAACCTCTTAAAATACTGTGGTATCAAAGTAAACGGAAGTAAAGAGAAACTAAGTCGATTTTGCAAGTACAATTGATTAGTGTATGGCTCATTCACTACAATCACTGTAAACTTATAAAACTGACTTTCTTTGTACCTTTTACTGAGAACGGTATATTTAGACTTACAAAATGTGGACTTTCTCCTAAAGGTTTATGTATTCTACGCAGTGTAACACGGATTATGGTTATAACGTATAATTGCAGCTGTAACAGGAACATGTATCTTTGTTAATGCAGCAACGTTTATAAAAGATTGTAGAGTTTTATTTGGAGATATTTTTATTGTGCCTTTCTTAGGTTCTGCCTTGGGATTGACAGCAATGTGCAGCCTGGGGTGGGGAAATTTGGTTGCATTTGACTGGAATGATTTGCCTGAGGGCAGGGAATTTGACTGCAAATTTTTGAAAAAAGTCAAATCCCCACCCTATGCCCTGCCTCCCTCCCCGCCGGCATTACATTGATAGGTGCATAAATTTGTGCATTGTTTTTTGAACGATTCTCACCTGTAGAATAAACCCTCTGAAATCACATGGGGTAAGGGCTACAACAAGCATGCAGCATAACCATACCTACATTTTTCAACTCAAGATAAGGGTCTACTTATCTTTTTCCTATTTTTTTAATGAAAAAGAAGAAAAGAAAAAGAAAACATTAAAAAGAGCCATTTAATAACCTATATATTATTGTCATTACCAGCTTATTAAGCCTACAAATACAGCCACTTCTCACTGTTCTCAGTCACTGGGGATATTTTGCTTTAACAGAACAGTTTGAATTTTGCAGGCCCTAAATTCGCAGCAAAACTTTATAGCTAAAAATAAAAATTGTAAGATAATCAACAGGAAGGAACAGAAACTCAATTAAATTCACATCTGGTACTGACTGACCGGTTAATTAACATATGAACAATGATTATCCCCATCAGTATATTTATTCTGCTGTTGGATTTTTTCAGGCTTTCTTTATGAAACTCCAAAAGTTGCTTCCTTAACCACAATGATCTACAAGTACCATTCTTAATTCTTCATCCCCCAGTTTTAATATTATGATTTTCATTCATCATTAATTTATGTATGGAATTTCTGCAAAAGGCAAAAATGAAGACGTCACTCTCGGGAAATATCCTAATAACTTTTTGATCCCAGAAATGTTCAGTGAAAACCTGAGAGAAATTTTGGTTGTGAAAATGCTGTTAGCAGATGTATCTCATTCTTACTGGAGAAATAAAATGTACAGTCCTGTAATTTACAAAAAGTACCTAGTGCTATATATTTTGCACTGGAATAAAAAGAAAATATGTCGATCAACTAGCAATTATAAGATCCCAAAAATAAAAGGCTGATGATAGGAAAATAGATTATTTTGTGGTTCAATTTTATCCTAGGTTTACATCTTATTTGTCTCAGACTCATTATCTTATCCAAAGACAAAGGAAAAATATAAAATTTAAACCAAGAACAAAATTGAGCCACAACATATGCATGAAAAGATATCAAGAATGCTCAAGACTGATGTTAACGTCTTAATATATTAATATATTGATATCTCTTGACAGTAACAGTTCGATTAAATTCTTGCTCCACGCTATTTCCTGTCTGGGAAATCTTATTTCTTCTTAGACTTTAGTTCCCTCCAAGTCATGGCATCTGACCTGTCTTGATTTGTGACTGCGACAAAGTCAAGTGTCTTTAAGCGAGGTAGAGTGGAGATAACATATTGTCTATAGCCTTGAAGATCTTCTATAGGGTTTCCATGCAAAGTTATTTTGCGAAGTTCAGGTAATGCAGCAAGTTTGTCAATTTCTGAAAGTTTCTTGATGTCGTTTGAGTGCAAGTACAGAATCTTTATGTTAGGGTACTGAAGTATTACCTGGAAAAAGAGCAAATTACTACTCACTTATAACTGTATTGATCATCACTTTGGAATT